CTATTATTATTAATTCAGTAATGCCACTAGCAAATAGGTTATCGAAAACAGAGTACACTATGATAAAATCATATCAGTTGGGGGAGGGATTGACTATTCAGCTAAACTATAGTCTTTCCTGGAAAAAAGCAAGTTTGGGTTCTCATCTCATACATACAAAAAATTAATTCCACATGGATTAAAGATCTGATTTTAACAAGAAATCTATAAAATATTTTGAAGAAAACAAAAGAGAACATATGTATAATGTCATTAAGTAGAAGGCATTCTTAGACAAAACAGAAAATCCAAAAGCCAGAACGAAAAAAATGCCAATTTGATGACATAATTTTAAATAAGGGTAAGTGAAGAGATTAATGATCAAAGATAAATGTCACGAAAGAAAATATTTGCTATACATGACCAGTATACATAAAGAACTCGTACAAACTGATAAGAAAATGTCAAATAATCCAATAGAAAATGAACAAAGGATAAACAGGGAATTTATACAATAACTAACCATAAGTAGCCAAAAGGAGCTCAATCTCATCCATAATCAGGAGTTTATAGAACGGAATTCAATCTTAAAATCAGCACTTTTTATTCTGCAACCAGAAAACAAACCTTCCATAATACCATGGGACACCTGCAAAGCCAATCCGTCACTCTTATGTCCCTACTCTTTCCCATTTGAAATAGCTTAAAACAAGTGTTTGCATTAGCTGTTCAAACTCAACTGACTGCAAAACGAAATCAAAAACTACAAACACCACTACGACTAGAAATGCAAATTAAAACAAGGACTCTGAAAATTTAATCAGATTAACAAAAACTGAAAAGACACCATCCAGTGCTGGCAAGGATGTGGGGAAACTGGTCGTCTCACATCCTCTTGGTGAGAGTGTGAGCTGCCAAAACTCCCTGGAAAGCAGTCTAGCAGTAGCTATTAAAATTTACAACGTACATTGTTTTGACCCAGTAACACCACATTTTTAGGATTCTGTTTAGAATTAAAAGCCCTGCTATGTCAGCAGTATCCCCTAGGATCCTTAACTTCCGGAACACTTCCTTCATCTTCATGGTCTAACTGAAACTTGGCTCTTCCCTGAAGATACTCCCCCTGAAGCCCTCTCTCCCATTTTCTCTCTCATACCTGTGGGTATGGAAGGGAGAGAACGGTCCTCCTTGTTCATTCCCACTTTGGGGGATTCTTCTTCCCTTCTCCTTAAAAAGTCCATCTTCACGTAGAGAAGATTAAGAGAATTAACATTAGTGATGATGTCCAGGATTAGAATCACACTTTTGGACTTCCTTTGCTGTGTTCTCTTTCTTCAAAGTGTGCCATACTGTTTCTATTGGCCCTACTCACCTACCTGTTGTTGAAAACAAATCAAAACCTAGGGCCAGAGCGGCAGTGCTGGCCCTAGTAGTAAGAAAGAGAATCCAGAGTTCTGGATTCAAATCTAAGCTCATCACTGACCTTAGGTAAATTATCTCCTGATCCTAGTTTACTCAACAATACCAGAACCTACACCATGTTTACTGGGAAGACTTAAAGATACAATGGATCTAGAGCACTTTCGATAAAGTAAATGCTCAATAAGTGTTTAAACAATGTCAAAAACAAAAACACCTTCGAAACTCAAAATTTCATACTGCTGTACAAGCAGAAAAGGACTGTTTCTTCCTCTATTGGCCATGTATAGCTCCTTTAGTTGCTTCTCTCTTTATCCATGTCATCCTTCTCCAGGTGTTCAAACAGCAACCTAGAGGCAGTAAACCAAGACACCAGGGGAATCGGCTATACCTGGAAATTTGGAAACATGGACTTCAATACAACTGACCTTCCCCATATTTGTATTAGCTCCTCTTAAAACTCATTACTTCCCATTTAAAGAAAATGGGGAAAGCCTAAAATAAATATGGCATTAGTTATTCATATTCAACTGCTTGTAAAATAAACAGGAGAAAGTAACTAGAAGAATCTTAAAAGACATCAAACAGACTTAGAAGCCTGCTAAATATAACCTAAGGAGTTCCAATCAAATCATATGTCACAAAAAAAGTGAAATAGAGGAAACCTGAGATTTCCAAAATATTTCACTTTTGCTAATTTCGATATATCAAATGAAGCAACTTATTGAAAACTGACTCCTAGCAGTGTCATCCTGTTCTGTCCTAACCCCTGTGGAGATTCCAAGCACATGCTCCATACTGTTAGTGAAGCAAAGCTGAAACCTAGTGTTATTTCACTCTCTAGTTGAAAAAATCTTTGATGGCTCTTCAAGCCTACAGATTTAAGTTTAAACCATTGAGCACAGGCCTCCAAAATCTGGCTGTAATTTACCTTTCCAGTGTTATTTTCATCTTCCAATTCTCTAAATCCATCACAACAAACACATTCTACATTATTTCATATCCATGCCTCAGCTTTGAACATACTCCTGCCCACCACCTGTTATTCCATTCCTCCTTCAAAGCAGCAAAGTACAGTGGAAAGGGTCCAGCTTTTAAGTTCAGATCCAGATCCACTAGATTTCTAATTCTAATTTCATCCCCACTACTTAAGAGCTTAATGATCTGGAGCAAATACTTTACTAGACCTGTTTCCTTACCTAGGAGGAGGCATATCACCTGTGGCACTTTTACAAGGCTATTGTGAGGATTAAGCATAATGGTTCTAAACTATCTAGCACCACACCTAAGGCACGGTAGAAACTTAATGGTAACTACTGAGCCATCCTTCTTTCCCCCTCCATCCTCATCAATACTATCATTTCCTAAATTTCCACAGCACTTTGTTTATACTACTATGTATATTACACCATGAGCACTAATATACTGCAGAATACTCATTATTTATGTATGTGTCTGGCTTTTCCATTAGGTTATAAGCAAGATGGTTATGGGTATGGATTTCTAAATCTCTGCCACTTACCACCTGAGCAAGTTATTTGACCTCGCAGAACCTGTTTCTTCATTAATAAACTGAATTGGGGTTAACACCTTACAGTGTTACAAAAAGGTTTAAAAGAGTTAATGTACATCAAATACCTCGTATAACGCTTGACACCTAGTAAATTTCAGAGGATGTTAATGGTAATCTGGATGATGACCCTGACCCAAGCAACTGCTTAAAGAATACACAAATGTAAAATGTATTTGTCTTATTAAATCCAATTTCATAAAGCAATCTTAATACAACTTTAACCTGCTACTCACCTCTCTTACTGATAGAGACAGCCAATGAAGACAAAAACAGAGATTCCTATGCACTTTATCTCAGAAATGCTACCACATATTCATGTTCTTCCAGGACCAGACTAAGTACTTCACGACTTATGGTTCACCTCACCTCATTACACTTTAAACAACATGGGGGCTTATCCCTCAAGAGTTGTAAGGGATAAAACGATCTGCCAGAGTTAAACAACACTCTGAAATTAGTAGTCTGTAAGGAAGTAGAAGCTAGTTATCTGCTCTTTATTCATTTTAATTCTAATGTGCTGTGTCATCAATTTCTCTACTCAAAACTCCAAACAAATGTCAACTACTTCTATGACAGTATTTTCCAATTTATACACTTCCAACCCACTGCTTGATTTAAGAGAAAACACTTCAAAATTAACTGCAGTGAAATCAAGGAAATCACAGAACAGTGAGCGCTTGCAAAGAGAAAAAAAATACAATATTAGAGCATTTGCATTCCACTTTCAGGTGTACACTGCTACTTACATGGGTTGTACAGCACACACGTCAAGAGCTCAGGAAGGGTTCTGGAAAGATGGACCTGGTTTTAAATCTGACATCACAACTTACTAGCTGTGTAACCTAAGCATGTTACTTCTTAAACCTCATATCCCTCATCTCTAAAATAGGGATTGTAACAGTATGACTCTCATAGGGTTGCATTAAATACAATAATGTATATTAAGTGTTTCAGGAAAGTACTTACAACACCATACTCAATAAATGGTATTCTATCCATTTGTTGTTATTGCCTGAGCACTAAGGTTTTTGGTAAATATTGTGTAATTAATGAATATTTAGCATATTTTATATTAGGAAATAAGCATACCACTAACTTTAATTCTATCCTAAGTTAAATAATGATTAATAGTTGCAATACGTTTAAGAGCAATTTACTGTTTACAAAGCCCTTTAGACATCCATAAACTCATTTTGATCTCCACAACATCCTTAGGGGATAAACACTTTTAAGATACGTATTCTAGAAATAAAGAAACTGGTACCCATCAGGGTAACACAGAGTCAAGGTTACCTAAGTCTCCTCCAACCAGATTCTCCAGCTCAGGGATAAAGTGCATAGTGTCCAAAGTTCTTAACCCAAACATCCACTAAAAGGAGGCAGATTCCAGCCAAGTTTCCCACCCTCCTCAAGCAGAGTCAAGAACGTGAGCCCAGGAATAAGCCCGGGGTAATAAACCCCGTCAGACGGCACTGATGACATTTCTCATGCACTGTTTCATTACGAGGTGTCCTCCCACATCTTTAGGGCGGGGGCTAATCCTGACCCCACTGCCACCAGAGCGCCCAACACAGGGCCTGGCACCCAAGAGGCCCTCAGTAAACGTTTGTGGAAATGGCATGGGAGGCTGGGAGGAGGCCTTCCAGAGACCCGAAACGAAGTCAACTCCACGGTGGGGATTAAGCATCCCAGTAGATCCACAGTCGTTGGCGGAGAGAGTCCAACCGGTAACCAGGCTGGAAAAAGGATGGCTGAGGACGGGCGCCGCTAAGGGGAACCCGGGAAGCTGACCCTCTTGAGGGGAGAGAGGGGGAGCGGGTCTGCCCGCAGCCATTCCTGGAAGGCTGGGGACCGACAGAGGCTCGGGCGCCGGGGGCAGCAAGCAGGGCAACTGGCGCCTGGGGGGGGAGGAGGCCGCCTGATGGTCTGAGAAGAATCTCGGGCCCAATCTGAGCAGGGTTCTGGGCTCCTCTAGGGACCCACTCCCTAGCCCGCGGTGGCATTCGCTTCACCGAGTACTCGCTGCTACCTGAAACTGCAGCAGCTTCTCTGTCTGCTCCTGTGTTAGATCCCGCTCCTCAGGCGCCGCCATTTTGCAGCCGCCTCTACGCTTCTGACCCGTCCGCACCGTCACCCGCCGGAAATGACCTCAGCAGCAACCACATCCGGTCTGAACAGCCGCCGGCGCGCAACTGCGTCTGCGCGTGCCGGCCCAACCTGGAGGCGGGAATGGTGACAATTTCCGCCGCTAGAGGGCACCACTCTCGGGCCGATCCCTAACACTTACGAAAATTGTCGGGGGACTGTCTGCCCAAGTCGCCCTTAGGAGTTAGGCGACGAACGGATCTACCAGGGACTTGACTCTCGAATAGATCGCAAAGAACCGAGAGGTCCCGAATGCTCCTCGAGAAGCTTCGGAAATTCACGAATGCCCCTCGGCAGATTTCGCCTTCTTCCTAACCATTTTCATCTCCAATGTTTCTGAATGTTTCTTAGGAAATTGCAGTCGTTCAGAAATATCGGCCGTTTGATTCCTGCCATGATGTTTCCAAAATCCCCTGACCATCTCTCAGGAGGTTCCGAAAGTCCCCGAATACTGGGGGCGTGGTGGGGATGGGGGCGTTTCCCACGCCGCCTTCGAGCCGGAAGCTGTGGAAGATGTGCGCCCCTTGAAAATGGTTGGCCCTTGGCCACCCGGGCACTACCAGCCTTAGGCAGAGCTTTCCGTCCACGCCTCTTGCGACTCTGATCCTGCCTGCCTCAGGCCCTCACTCGTCTCTCTGCCCACTGGCCCGTCTTCCCTGTGACCAACCGAAGGAAGATCCCAGGACTGGGATCAGGAGACTTGGATTCACGTTCTAGTGTCCACCTGGCAAAGTGCTGGACATCTCCGGGCAAACCACCTCCTCTCTGCTCTAGTTTTGCCATTGATGGAATGAGATTCACCAACAGCCCCAGATATGCTGTCTAAGCTCATTCTCCTTGGAAGCAGTCCCCCACCCTTTCCACTGCCTTATCTCCACCCCTCAATGTCTGCCTTCTTCTGCACTTTCCTTGCCCCTTTTAACCCGCCACCTCTCTTCAGGTCTCCATTTTCATTTCCACTTCTTTTCTCCTGCCATCCGCCTTCTCTGTCCACTGTCCAGAAGGCCTTGGGAGGCAGAGGGTTCATGGTCTGGTGCTTTTCCACAGACTACCCGTCTGACTCCTAGCAAGGCACTCAGCCTCCTGGGCCCCCGCTGTCCTCCCCATCTATGGAATCTCACCCCATGAACTTCACGGGGTTGAATTAGGTGAGACAGAACCGGAAGTGCTTTGAAAGCTGAAGTTCCGTGAAGAGTACATTAAAGGATGGAAGGACTTAAGTTTTGGCTATTTCTTTCTTTCAGGCCTGAATCAGGTCTTACTAGGTCTGCACAAACTGCATAACAATGTCCTAGAATTTTTCTTAGACCCTTAAGGTAAAATTGTAAGCAAGTAGAGCCACTTTGGAGAATTTCTTTTACATCAACTCAAAGCTCAAATGAGATGCAGTACTATTCAACGTCTCCAATAATGATGGATCCGGAAGAACTAGATGAGGGATTGCAAAGTCAGGTGCCATCTGGAGTTGTTGCATAATTTTGATTTAAGATGTATTCTTTCCACACACAAACTTTGTGGTTATATTAAACACCATTGAATGTTCTTCTCTTCCTTTAAGACACAGACACCCTTTTAGTCTACATTTCCCTTTTCTTCTTTGAATAAAAGTGTGGCTACAAGAAATATTTTACTTAAAAAAAAAAAAAGCAACAGCAACAACAACTCGACCATAGGAATACAATATGGCAAACTGGAGAATCCATTCCCTGGGCAAAGGCGGCTTCTGCTTTTTAGCTGTACCTTTTGGCTTACATGTAAGACCAGTACTGGGGAGGGATTAATTAGGAATTCGGGATTAACAGGTAGATACTACTATATGTAAAATAGATAAACAACAAAGACCTACTGTATAGCACAGGGAACTATATTCAGTATCTTATAATAACTTATAATGGGAAATAATCTGAAAGAGAATATGTGTACGTATATGTATATATATATGTATAACTGAATCACTTTGCTGTACACCTGAAACATTGTAAATTGACTAAACTTCAATTTAAAAAAAAAGAAGAAGACCAGGGCTTCCCTGGTGGTGCATTGGTTAAAAATCCACCTGCCAATGCAGGGGACACAGGTTCGGGTCCTGGTCCGGGAAGATCCCACATGCTACAGAGCAACTAAGCCCGTGCACCACAACTACTGAGCCTGCGCTCTAGAACCCGCAAGCCACAACCCCTGAGCCTGTGTGCCACAACTACGGAGGCCCGTGCGCCTAGAGCCCGTGCTCCACAACAAGAAAAGCCACTGCAGTGAAAAGCCTGCACACCACAACGAAGAGTAGCCCCTGCTCACCGCAAGGAGAGAAAGCTCGCGCGCCACAAGGAAAACCCAACGCCGCCAAAAATAAACAAATAAAAAAAAATTTTAAAAAAAAGACCAGCATTGCCACAACTTCCCCTTTTCTAAGAGCACCTAACAAATAAGGATCTGTGTATGAAATCTCCCCATTTTGAAATGGTAATAACTAATTCAGTTTTTAAGAAAATTACTGTCAACCATAACTGCAAGCCACATTTCAGCCCATGAGCTACCAGCCCACCCCTCTGACCTAGGCAGAATCCTCATGGCCTCTGTTTGCCACGGGAGAAGCTGGCCTTGGAAGAAACCTAAGCTTTTTTGATAGGTTCAAGATGAAGAGTGTGGAAAGCGGCATCAAATATTGGCTTGCCATCTTCTTTAAGAATAATTTTTTCGGGGCTTCCCTGGTGGCGCAGTGGTTGGGAGTCCGCCTGCCGGTGCAGGGGACGCGGGTTCGGGCCCTGGTCCGGGAAGATCCCACATGCCGCGGAGCAACTAAGCCCGTGCGCCACAACTACTGAGCCTGCGCTCTAGAGCCCGTGAGCCACAACTACTGAAGCCCGTGTGCCACAACTACTGAAGCCCGCGTGCCTAGAGCCTGTGCTCCGCAACGGGAGAGGCCACCACAATGAGAAGCCTGTTCCCTGCAACAAAGAGTAGCCCTCGCTCACTGCAACTAGAGAAAGCCCGCGTGCAGCAGCAAAGACCCAATGCAACCAAAACTTAAATAAATGAATAAATAAATAAATTTATAAAAAAAAAAAAAAAAAAAAAGAATAATTTTTTCTGACCTTTATTTTCCTTTTTAGAGCCCTGTTGTCCAATCAAAATACAATGATATCCACATGTGTAATTTTAAATACTATAGGATCACATTTAACACAGATGAGATTAATCTTAGTAATATATTTGATTTAACCCAATATATCAAATATATTATCTTTTTTTGTACTAAGTCTTCAAAATCTGGGGTGTATTTTACACTTCCCTAAATCTCTATTTGGACTGGCCACATTTCAAGTACTGGGTTACCACACATGGTTTCTGACCACTGCATTGGACAGTGCATTCTAAAGCATTCTGAAGATATTTTTAATAGATTTATTAATTATATTCATCTACATATCACCTATGTGTGGCATCTAAACTACAACACAAATGAACCTAACTACTAAAAAGAAACAGACTCACAGACATAGAGAACAGACTTGTGGCTGCCAAGGGAAAGGGGGGTGGGGGGAGGGAAGGACTGGGAATTTCGGATTAGCAGATACAAACTATTATATATAGAATGGATAAACAACAAGGTCATACTGTATAGCACAGGGAATTATATTCAATATCCTGTGATAAACCATAATGGAAAAGAATATGAAAAGAATGTATATATGTGTGTAACTGAAACACTTTGCTGTACAGCAGAAATTAACACAACATTGTAAATCAACTATACTTCAATAAAATTTTAAAAATTATATTCATCTACAGATTTTAGGAGTCGATTAAACAAACATTTACTGAGTGCTTTATTCTGATCCAGGCTCTGTACCACATGCTATAAAGTTAACACACAGCCACTGTCCTCGAAAGAACACACAGTTTAATGAAAAATTAAATGAATTTTCATCAGTCTCTGGACTGGGGTGTGTGTGTGTGTGTGTGTGTGTGTGAGAAAGAGAGAGAGAGAGAGAGAGAGAGGTTTTGAGTGCACACAGGGATTTGTGGCTGAGAGCTGTCTCAGGGAATCTAATGAATATTTGTTTCTCTAATCCTAGTAATGAGGCTTTGCTGACACCTTACCATTTTGTTCCTGATAAAGGATGAATTCTGTCCTGCTGAGTCATGGAAATCCTAGAACAAGTCCTCAATTTCTGAATAACTGGAACATAAGATATTTTCTGTCAGTTGGGGACATGGCATTTTGATTGCTGAGTAAAGCAGACCATTGAGATGTCAGCAACAGTTTTTTGTTTGTTGCCCTGCTATCCATCAAATTATTCATTATTGGTTAAGTGGAGCTAGCAGGAATTAAGGTGACTCAACTAGATTCATCCAAAAAGTAAGGGGAGTGAGAGAAGTAATACCTGCACCCAATAGTGTATTTTAGATTCTCAGGCTTCTGCTAGGGGTGTTTGGACTGATGAAAAAAAATTAAGCTTGGAAGCAAAGTTTTGCCTTATGTAAGTCAAAAAGTACATCTCATGCTCTGCAGGGACACCTGAGTATTGCACCATTAACTGTGTGGTTTTGGAAAGTGAAACTCTCTGCAGTTTGCTCATCTCTCAGCTGTAAACAAATAGTCTCTACCTCACAGTTTGTGGCAAGGGTTAACTCAGAGAGGACATGTAAAATTCATGCCCTCATCATAGCCACCTTGAAGATTTGGGAGAGGACAGAATGAAATAAAGTATTAATGGAAGGCTTTATCCAGCACTATTCACAATAGCCAAGACATGGAAAAAACCTAAATGTCCATCGACAGATGAATGGATAAAGAAGTTATGATTGATACACACACACACACACACACACACACACACACACACACACATATATATCCAATGGAATATGACTCAGCTATAGAAAAGGATGAAATAATGCCATTTGCTGTAACATGGATGGACCTGGAGATTATCATACTAAGTGAAGTAAGTCAGAAAGAGAAAGACAAATACCACATGATATCACTTATATGTGGAATGTAAAATATGACACAAATGATCTTATC